AACCACACTTGGCCACCTCTGTGCTGCAGGGACCTAGCAAAGTAGCCATGGTGCTGTAGCTATGCTGGCTTAAATGTCAGCTGGTAGATTTTTATACCCCTGAACAGTGTAGCAAAGGCAGCCAAAGCTTTGAGTATAGATCAGGCCTGAAGGGATTGGTTGGGCAGGCGGCTGGACTTGATGACTTCCTGAGGTCTCCTCCAGCGCTGTGATTCTATGATTTAGGGACGTAAATATCCATTAAAACAGTTAAATGGTATAATTTTGACTTATTCAGGCATTCAAATGGCAGGGGCTACACCAAGCCGGCCTATCGGCCACAGATGGGCCTGAGCCCACTCAGGCATGCCCATCGTCCGGTCCTGCCCAGGCTGCTTCCGCCCACTAGGGCCTCCAGGGCTCTGCCTGCCCTCCTAGCCCACCAGGACTAGGATTTGGGCGAGGGATGTTAAATATCGATTAATTGAATGTCAATGGGTTTTCCATTGACTCTTGGATTAGTCGATAAGGACTAGCGCCCATTCCGCCTTCGAAATATACAAGAGCCCCAGCAGAAGCTCTTGTGCATTTCAAAGACTGAAATGCTGCGTGGAGCCCGGCGCCTGTGGGGGCGCTTGCGCATTTCAAAGCGGAAGTGCCCGCATGGAGCCTGGGGTCAGCCAGGGACTCCACACTGGCCCAGGGCATCACGCAGCATTTCAGTCTTTGAAATGCACAAGAGCCTCTCCTGGAGCTCTTGGACATTTCAAAGAGGAAGCGCCGCTGCTGTGCCCTTGCCCCATCCCACAGAGCTGGAGCTGGGGGGAATCCGCTTTTAAGCTGGCTCCCACCAGCACCACCTCCTCTTCCCCCCACCTCCCCCCTGCTGCTGCTTTGTGATAGAGGTAGCAAGGCGGGGAAGCGACTAGTTGACTAATCTCAACTATCTGATAAGCTTTTGCTTATCAGATAATGCAGGGGGTGTCAAACCTTGATACCACAGCTCCCCTCTAAGTTGCTCGTGATTCCCTCGGAGGGTTGGGACCCACCGTTTGAGAAATGCGGAGACAATGAATTAGTTGCTTACATCCATAATTTGGGCAAGGTCCGGTTAAATGGTAAGCCTAATGCTTTATGGCTAACTGGTTCACCTTTTACTTCTCTAGTCTGATTTATACTGTAAGCTCTGCAAGGCTGGGCCTTCTTTTGTACAGCACCTAGCGCAAAGAAGCCTTGGTCTGTCAGTCCTTTGATACAACAGTACTATAAATTATTTGAATAGTCTCCAGGATTGCAGAACCTGGACATGCTGTAAGCTCTTTGGGACAGGAAAGCCGGGGTCCCTGTCTCACTCGTAAGACCTTGCTAGTGCTCAGTGAATCGATCAGCAAATACTACGATGCCGCGCAAAGTGTAAATCTCTCCATGGAATTAACGGTGCATCGACCCTTACCTTCTCTCAGACCCTGTCCTGAAGCCTGGTCGGAGCCAGGAGGAAGTCTGGTGGGGACCCCATCTGGGTCAATGTATCTGTAGGAGTTAAGCCATTATGCGCGTGTCCTTGCTGTGTCCCTCACAGATCGGCCCGCACGAGGAGATGTATTCCATGCCGGACGATGTGTTCGAGTCGCCTCCGCTCTCAGCTGCTGGCTTCCAAGCGGCTCCGCACCTGGATGAAGCCCAGCCCTCCGCGGTGCAGAAGCCTGTCTTGTGAGTATCGGTTCCAGTGTGGGGCTGTCTGGGCTCAGAGCTGGGCCCCTCAGACTTCGCAGGATATTCCAGTCGGAGGTACCCTTCCTAGCTGGCCTCTTGCAGTGAGTGGGGCAGGGGTGAGCGAGAGCCTCTATAGGCCAGATCTGGCCCACCAAGTGGGTTGATCCAGCCCATGGATGCCCTGTCACTAGGCCATCGGGAGCACGAAGTCTCCTCCCCCACTAGGGATGCAGGCACCTAGAGGGAACTAGCTGGTGGTTCTCTGTTGGGGTGGGGGGAAAACACTTCCCTGCTTCCCTTCCCACAGACCCTGATTGGCTACGGTGGGGGAGCGCATGAAGTGTCCTGGCCCTGCCCCTTCCACCTGAGGCCCTGCCCCTTCTGGGGCACCCCAGGGCCTCTTCAAAAATGCATAAAGTGGCCCCTCCTAACATTATTGCCCCCACTGCTGGGGGCTGGAATGGGGCTAGGTATGCAGAAAAGACTTGGCCCTGCCCTGGCAACTCCTTTCCCTTCTGGCCACAGTGGCTCATGCTGTGATGGGGCCACCCACGAAATGGGGGCAGAGGGTTTAACCCTCCCTCTGGGCAGGAAACGGAATGAAATGCTTCTCACTGCAGGGTGGAAGGTGCTGTTGCCTTGGGTCCTGCCATCCCCGGCCCCAAGAGAGGCAAGCGCATCGCTTCCCAAGTGAGGCACTTTGCCTTCGACCGCAAGAAGCGATACTACGGGCTGGGGGTGGTAGGCAAGTGGCTGAACCGGACGTACCGCCGGAGCATCAGCAGCGTGGTCCAGTCGCAGCTGGAGAACACAGACAGTCACAGGTAAGGGCCAGGCTCTGGCTATGGGCGGCAGGGTGGTTACAGTGGGCTGGACAGATCCTGGGCCCAGTGCTGCCCCTTAGGTGAACTCTGGACTGGGCTCTTTGAGACTGGTGTGGAGTCACTCCTGCTCAGGATCAGGGCCTGTTGTGTAGCTGTCAGTCCAGCGTGGCTCATGCCCCTTCCAAACGCACACAGCAGGGGAGCTCTGTTCGCTTATGCCCCGATGCCTTCGAGGCCCCTCGTCCCAGCAGCCTCCTACCAGACGAAGAGTTGTGCTGGCGGAGGGGTCTGGATGGGCAAAGGGTTCTGCTGACTTGATTTCTATTTTAGTGCAATGGGTGTGAAATGAGACCTGCCCTGGGGTTGTGAAATGGTCCAGCGATCCCAACGGCAGCTTGTCCAGTGCGCCTCCGAACCCAGCCTGTGCATCCCTGTCCCACACCTGACCAGACCTGCCATGTCCCTGCTGTGTCAGACATGGGCATCTCCAGTGAGGTTGGCAGGCACGAGGCTGCTCAGTCTTAAGTGACCCTTGTTTGTGTTTCTTTTCCCTGCCTCAGGCCGTATTTCACCTATTGGCTCACCTTTGTCCATCTCCTCATTACCCTGCTGGTTATCTGCACCTATGGGATCGCGCCCATGGGCTTTGCCCAGCACGTGACAACAGAGTTAGTAAGTTTAATAGCTATTGGCTGTGCCCATTCTGGGGTTAGGGGGCTGTGTAGCCTGTCGGGCCCTGGGGCTAATGGCTCCTGTGAGGAATCCTATCTCTGAAGTGGCAGGACTCCAGCTGCTGATTAAAGCTGCCGGCAAAACAGGGATAATCCCATGCAGGCTTAAGTCTCCCAGCATCTCTGGATGCTTAGTGAGCCAGGTAGCCAGGCACTGAAAAGAGGCAGGAATTGAGCTTCCTGGAAAGATGGGCAACTCTTATCCTTTCCTGTAACCTGTTTTCCCCTCTGGAAAAAGCAGACAGTCCAGTGGGAGCAAGCATGCTCCATTTGTGAACACCAGGAACATCTCTCTTGCCACTGACAGGCCAGCCTGGGTCGGCGGAGCGAGGCTGGTCCAGAGGCTAGAATCCTTGACTAGGAATTGGGAGACGGGAGTCAGATTCCCAGCCCTGCCACTGTCTTGCTGAGTGACTGTGGCAAGTTACTTGATCATCCTGTTCTGTGAAGTGGGGCCGATAGCACTGTTGTACCTCAGGGGGTGCTGGGAGGCAAAACGCTGTTAACGGTCATGAGGGGAGGCTGCCTAAGTACTTCCAAGGACTTGAAGCTGCTCTTCCCCAGCTCTCACCTTGCCCTTGTAGTTAGGGACCTGCATTGTCACAGGAGCCAAAGTGGAGCCAGCTGGACACACTGATCCCAAGCTGCATTTGTAGGCCCGGCAGTAGGAAAAATCCACTTAACCCTTTGGTCCTTTTAGCTGTGAATTACTGTGACCTTTCATCGGCGTGCCCCTTGGCAGGTGCTGAGGAACAAAGGGGTCTATGAGAGCGTGAAGTACATTCAGCAAGAGAACTTCTGGATTGGGCCAGGCTCGGTAAGGGGCATGTCTGCGGTTCCCCCTCCCTTCCTCCTTTTCCCCACGGAAGGCCGAGAGGGACTTGCACTTCAGTGCAGAGGGAGAATGGGCGATTCCAGCAGCTGCTAGCCAGGCGTCCCTGACTCACGGCATTAGCCAGCATGCCAGGCCCCTGCGCTGTTCCATGTCTGGGCTCTCCGTTCCCACGGTGGCTGGTGGCTTTGTGTGATGTGACGCGGCCCACCAAATGCTATAGACTGTGGCTGTTCTTTGTACACTGGACTGAGAGCCACCTTGTTATCCCCTGCCCCAGGAAAGAGCTAGGCTTGCCTGCGCGGCCTAACTCCACTGGTCTTCCAGGCGCTCTCCTCGGGGCGTGCCAGCCCCATCTGCCTTGCAGGCTAACAGCAGCTGCACCTGAGTCCCTTGGAACCTCTCCCCTGTGATATCCAGCCCCTGAAACTGGCTCTGCACAGGAATCCCAGATCCTCTGCCCTAAAGGTGCAATGCACCCCAGGTTTAGCTTAAGCCGCTGCTCCTGTGGACTGTGCGGCACTTGTAATGACACCGCAAGAGGGCTTGTGTGGAACCGTATTGTGTTTCAGATTGACCTGATCCACCTGGGAGCCAAGTTCTCCCCTTGCATGCGCAAGGACCAGCAGGTCGAGAAGCTCATTCAAAAGGAGAGGGACCAGGAGCGCAACTCGGGCTGCTGCGTCCAAAATGACAACTCGGGCTGCATCCAGACTCAGCGAAAAGACTGTTCGGTGCGTGGCTGCCTGTCCCCTCTGGGCCAAGGACACCTCCAGGGATCCCAAGTGCAGCTGCAGACCTCTCCCCTTGCATGCGCAAGGACCAGCAGGTCGAGAAGCTCATTCAAAAGGAGAGGGACCAGGAGCGCAACTCGGGCTGCTGCGTCCAAAATGACAACTCGGGCTGCATCCAGACTCAGCGAAAAGACTGTTCGGTGCGTGGCTGCCTGTCCCCTCTGGGCCAAGGACACCTCCAGGGATCCCAAGTGCAGCTGCAGACCTAATGGGGGACAGTATGGGAGCGCTGCTGGCAGCGCGGGGTGAGGGTCAAGGGGGGGGGGGCTACTTCTTGCTGGGAGGCGTTGAAGGAAGGATCCAGGAAGATCCCAGACAGTGAAGAACTGGGTGTGGTGAGGCAAGACAGGATCCAAGGGTAATGTGGTGCTGACCTGTGGCCTTGTCTCCCCTTAGCTTGTGGTAGGTAGAGCGACATTAGGAATCCCTTCCATTGGGCTCCACTTACATTTCCACCCATCTTTGGGCAGCAGTCACCGCAAGGCGTGATGGTAAGCAACAAGCACCGCAGGAATCCGCCTCACTTACGCTTAGTGGATTAACACCGTGGAGACCATTCGAACCAAAGATGGAAGGAAACCTAAGAGGAGCCAGTCAGGAGGGAGGTCCTGATTCAGATCCCACCATCTCGGGCCCGAGGGCCCGGAAGACTAAGGAACTAGACTGGATTAGCTACAGAGTGGGGAAAGGGCAACTGGCGGAGGTCGTCCAGAGGGTGGGATGCCCAGCGGTGTGGGGGTGAGCCCCACAAGGCATCTCTGCACTGACTGCATGGACCCATGTCTGAACCCCTCAGTACCTGCTCACCAACTAAAAACCCGCTTCCCAAATTCCCATTCTCTGTAACTGCAGGAGACTTTAGCAACTTTTGCAAAATGGCCGGACTCCAACGCCCCGAACTTCAGCAATTCCAGCGGGAAGCGAACATCCGGAGCAGTGTGCCAGCAGGATCCCAGGTATGGACACCCCTGGGGCAAGGAGCCCCAAACCTTGGGGGAAGGAACAGGATGGGTCATTGAACAGGGATGAGGGATTGGAGGCTGACTCTGGGTTTACTGACTAAGGATGGCTTGGGAACACTATACCAGGGTGGGGTCTTGGCTTTGGGATGCTGGGCCTACTATAAAGGGGTTGTACTAAGGGAAAATGTTCATGCCCCTGGTGTCTTGCATCTGACGATCTCCAGGCACGCTTCCAGAAGCATATGCTGCTGTTCTAAGGAGGAGAGGCAAAGTTAATTGAAACAGTCTTGCCTGAGCACTGGCAGAGTTGGCATCAGTTAGCAGTAGAACCCAGAAGTGCTGGCTGCTAGTCGTGTTCTCTCGGTTCTTAATGTACGGGGTGAGAGAGGAGAAACGAATTTACCTATTGGATGCTTATGTTTGTGTGCCCATCACCTGGGTCTCTGGGCATGCAACATGACCCAAGGGCCTGTTAAACTGCCCCAGTCAGTCCAGGCATGGTCCATTGTAAAGTCTGGCCCTCACAGACCGAAGGGGGTGAACTGGGACAGTGCGCAGAGGTGGCAGGAGAGAGAAGCTACCTCGCTCCCCACTAGTGCCCATCATGGGCTGTCAGGATCCCAGACGGAGGCTGCAGCAGAACCCTTCCTCACTGATTGCTCCATTCCCACAGGACATGTGAGGAGCCAGCCTCCACCCCCCCTCATGTCTGGCCAGATGACATTACCAAGTGGCCGGTAAGGAATCTCCCAGTAACATTTTGCTGTTTCCCTTCCTGTTCGTCGTTGGAAATGCCCCTTGCATTCTGGGAGGGGCCTCCTGGCCTAGAAAGACAAGAAATAAAAAGCACTTGTCTTCCCGGGCCAAGTAGGGGAGCCCCTGGACCAGAGGTGAGGCAGCTCGGGGAGAGGAAGGCCGTGGGTGTAGCCAAACCCCAGCGTGATGGGTCTGGGTGGAAGAACTCTCCCTTGTGCACTTGGCTACAGACTGGCCAGCTGTGGTCATGCCTCCCTCCTGTTCTCTAACGAGGTCATTGCTCTTCCTTTGAGATTTGCACCTTTCAAGCCAAAACCAACCATACTGGCTTTTTGCACATGGACTGTGATATCAAAGGGAGACCGTGCTGTATCGGTACCAAAGGCAGGTAAGCGGTGCCCGTGCTCCTTCAGACAGCTTTCCCGATGCTACGGCTGGACTCAGCCATGGCTGGGATGCCTGTTCTCCTCCGAGGCAGTGGGAACTCCTAGCACTAGTCTGGAGTGGAATGGGGGCAACCGCATTCCCACTTACAACTGCCTCAGGGATACATCTGACTCTGCATGCCTCTGGGTACCTGTAGGATGCCCTGGTGCATGGACAGCTCTAGTGGATGCTCTGTCCTTGGGAGACCTGTGTCCTGGGGCCACCCCCATAGGAGGTTTGCAGTTAACATCCTGGGGATCTTTCATGGGAAAGATGCTTCCTCCTTAGACAGCCGTCGTTGGCCAGTCACTGACTTGAGGTCCCTGTAGTTTGGCTGCGATGAGCAGAAAATGCCACAGTGGGAGCTGAGAGCTTCAGACAAACCCCGTAAAGGCAGCATGGAATTAGGCAGCCAGAGCTGGTTCGACTCCATCTCGTCTATGGGTGGAGGGGAGAATGAATGAGGCTCAAGGCTTTACATGTGGAGGGGAGAGGAAAGGGAACCCTGCATGAATTTGACCCCCCTTGTCCTCCTGTGCACTAGCTGTGAGATTACCACGAGGGAGTACTGCGAGTTCATGCATGGCTACTTCCACGAGGAGGCCACTCTCTGCTCGCAGGTGAGCCGAGCTTTGGGCCGCTGGGTTGGAGAAATGCTGCACGGTGGGGGAGAGGGGCAACACTTAGCCTTTGCTGTGCTGTGCTGTGCTGTGCTGAGTGTGTTGGTGAATTGGCAGGCTGGCTGTGTAGCTCTGTGAAGCCACGATGGGCAGCTCTCTGCCAGCTGCTTGGGGAGCTGGGTCAGCACACAGCTGGGTGGTGGCTGGGAATGAAAGCAGAAGATCCTTCCTGGTCGCAGGCAGAGCAGTCCTAGGGATGAGGGCATGCACTGAGAATGGCAAGATGCTGATCAATCAAGCAGCATCCAGCCTGGAAGCAGCCTGCAATGGTATCGCAGCACCTTGCTGGCAGGAAAATGCACTTCCTGGGTAGCAGCTTGGATGGTGAAGAAACCCACTGACCCCAGATCTCTGCTGGGTGCCTGGGTGCCCAGCTGCCCTGGCGCTTTGCCCCTTCACCCATGGGAGTCACACTCGGCTCTGACCTGACTCATTCATGGTGGGGTCTTCAATGAAAGCACTATGGGCAGGCTGAGGCTGCTTTGCTGGACTTGATGACTAGCCTGAGAAGGTGCTTGCTGTGAGTCGGCTGCTGCCTGCACCTCTTCCTCTCCTGCCTCTGTTCTCCCGAAAACCTGGCGCTGGCCGGGAGCCAGTGCTGCTGCAGCTGCCTCGGGCCTCGTTTTACCCCGTAGCACTTTCCCTTTCATTTCAGGTCCATTGCTTGGATGATGTGTGTGGCCTCCTGCCATTTCTGAACCCGGAATTCCCCGACCAGATCTACAGACTCTGGCTGTCCCTCTTCCTTCATGCTGGGTAAGAAGCATGGTGGGTGGGGGAGGGGATCCGCCATTCATCCATGAGCCTCCCTTGGCAGCTTTGCCGATGCTTCCAGCAAGGCTGGCAATGAGCAAAGTGCCCTGGGCCAGGGTTACAGTTTGCCTCTGGACACTGACACACCCACCAAGAGTGAAAATAGGTGCCAAATGGCCCCCTAGCATCGTCCTGAGGATCGATGGGCCCTACGCAGTCCCATTAAATTGATGCCCCTGTGCCTGAGGGTGGGGGGATCTTTCGGGGGGTGACTCGAAGGTCCTACAGTCAAACACCGTAAACTGATTCCAGTTCATCTGATGAAGTGACTTTCCCCACAAAGCTCCTGCGCTGTTCACTGTTCACCTCTAAGGTGCCTCGGGGCTCCTCGTTTTTGCAGACACAGACTAACACAGCTGCCCCTCTAAGACAGTAAAGTCCGAGACTGACCGTCCCTGCCTGGGGTTGGCAGATGCCTGCTAAATGGTCCGTTGCTGCTGGAATGGCTCTTTCACCGGCTCAGTGTCTGCCACTAGGGCCAGCCGGCTTTGTCACATCCCGTTATCTAGATCCTCTCCGGAGGAAGTGAAGCCTGGGACCGGGGGAAGGAGGAGCTGGGTGGCTGGATGTTCAGACCCGGTGGTGCCCCAGGTGTTCAGGTGCCCAATGCAGCAGCACATTCTGCGTATGGATGAGGACGGCCTTGCCTGCAGCTGCCCGTCCCAGACTCCTGATTTAGATGAAGCTTGAGTAACTCTCCGCTGCTGCGCGTGGGGTGAGGGGCAGTGGGCTGGGTGCAGGGGTTGCCATGTAAGCGTCTGTTCTATTTCCCTAGGATTATTCACTGTCTCGTGTCAGTGATCTTCCAGATGACCATCCTCAGGGATTTGGAGAAGCTGGCAGGCTGGCACAGGATATCGATCATCTTCCTGCTCAGTGGCATCACTGGCAACCTGGCTAGTGCCATCTTCCTTCCATACAGGGCTGAGGTACGGGTGCTGTGAGACCGGGGGGGTGGGGGGGTTGTTTTCCTCTGTAGCTCTGACCCTGCCAGCTTTCAGCTGCTCTCTCCATCGGAGGCAAAGCGCAGAGGCTTTCTCCCCAGAGATCCTGTTAGTGCCCAGTGACCATCAAAAGCACTTAGAGTAGAGGTGGGTCTAACGTCCCTGCGGAAGGAAGCCCTCCAGCTGCCCCAGAGCAGGTACAGCACAAGCTCCAGCTGCACCAGTTTCCCTGCTCTGCCCTGCCCATGGGCCAAGCTGTAAGTGAAAGGGCTGCACCCTCTCCCTGAAGCCAGTCCGGCCTTGGCCTCTGCACAGGCTACGAGTATGAGGCCCAGTTGTGTCAGGGTCTCTCTTCTGAGGCGCACGCGTGGAGTAGCATGGAGACCCACTAGCCTGAACGCAGCATCAGACTGGGGTACAGCTGGAGCCAGTGATCTGGAGGTACAAGTCCCTGCCAGCTGCATGTGATGTGGGCTGTGCTCAGGCTGGTGGCCTGAGCTCATTGAACATCCCTCCCTGAGGGCAGCGAGCCTGCACCCTTTGCCTGATGCTGCTCTGTGCACCGCCCAGTGGCACGTGGAATGACGTGCGGGGGGGGGGGGGGGGCGCTGCCTGTTGGCTGAGAGGGCACTTCTATCTGGTGCTTGTAACAGGCAGCTTGGTGCCTGGCCCCACCCCAGACCATGGGTGTGCTAGCCTGGCAGGCAAAGGCAGGGGATAACTGGGTTAGGCACCACGGCCGAAGGGGTAGCAGTCCAGCTTCCTCAACTTCTTAAACTGATTGCTCTCGTGGCTGAGCCGAGTAGGGAGGTTTTGGAGGGATTAATAAGTGACTCCAGGCTGCAAGGCAGCTGCTGCCTTTCACTCATTCTCCCTCCTTTCTTCTTCTGCGCCCCCCCCCTCCCGCCTGACCTGGGCAGGGGTCTCCCCACTGCACAGCCGTTGTCCCACCTTCCCTGGAGCTGGCTGCCCCCTTTCCTGCAGGAGAGAGCACTGGACCCCTCCTGCCCCCACACGCCTTCTAGGCACCAAGCCCCTCCCTTGGGAAAGGGGAGGAGGTGGCAGGTTCCCAGTGAACTGTCTCCCCCCCGCGGGCCGGGCTTTTCCAGCCTGGCTGAGCACAAGCAAAATCAGTGAGGCGGGAGTGCTTGGTGCCTCTAGTGCTGCAGGCCTTAGCACCCCGGGCCCTAGTTTGGGAGCAGGGCCCCGTCCTGCCGGGTGCGGAGCAAGGCGCGTACAGGCGGTGGGTTTTTAACGGTGCTCTGTAGCTGTCTGCTGCAGCACAGACTTTCCAGGTGCAGCTGCTCTCCCAGGGCAGGGGAGTTGATTTTCTGCTCTGTCACGGCAGTCAGAAGGGGGAGGCGTCTGCGCTCTGAGCTGCATTGGAACGTACGTTCGGTGCTGGGCGTAATGGGGACAGTCGCCCACGGCGTGACCATTGAGGGGTGTAGCTTAGAACTGTTCCTTTTTGTAACTGGAGGTGAAACTGACTGTACTCTACTCTAGGTGAGCAAAGGGCCTAAACGTTGCTCTTTCTCCGACTTCTTGCTAGTGCAGATCAGGCCTTGACTCCTCTTACCAGAGTCCAGGAGTCCTAGGTACAGGAGCCTGATTGGAAACAGAGTTCAGTAAAGTTTTTAGTCTGAGTTGTGGATGACCCAGGTGTCCGTCCCTTCACTTCTCTGACACACGGGGTGGGGCTACAGCATGCAGCTCTGTCCACATGTGCAGAGCTCGCACGTGCCAGGCTGCCCCCGGAGGTCCGCATGAGCATGCATGTACTGCATGGGCTTACGCAACGGGCAGATGGCTAATCTGGCACCAAATTCTGATGGGCTTTGCATTAGCTCACACGCACGTAATCCCTTTGAGTGGGTCTCAGGTGATTGTTTGGGAGCCTGTGGGGCAGGAAGGGGACCCAGCTTGCTGCTGCGGAGTCACCAGAAGTGCTGACTCTGGAAACCAGAGCACAGATCCCTCCTTTTCCAAAGCCACTTCGCCGCCAGCCCAGGCACGGTGCTCGTCCCAGGTGGCCAATGGGAGCCTTTCTGTCTAGCTGTGGCGTCAGGTTAATTCTTCCCCATCCTCGCTGATTCCCCTGCACCGTCCCCGCCAGCGTGCAGAGCATAGGCAGTGGTCTCGAGGAACACTGCTAGCCAGTCCCCTTTGCTGAGCCCCCTTCCTGTCTCGCCTTCCAGCACCAGAAACCGGCTCTGCCCTTAGACGATGCAGGTGCCAGAACACAATCCACCTCGCCCTCCTGTGGCTATTTGCTGTCCAGGATAAATTAGGCACATCACGGGAGAGCTAAAATATTAGGGAAAACGATCTCCCAAGGAGGGGGTGAAGCACTGGAATGGGTCGCCTAGGGAGGGGCTGGAATCTCCATCCCTAGAGGTTTTTAAGTCCCAGCTTGACAAAGCCCCGGCTGCGATGATGCAGTTGGGGTAGATCTTGCCTTGGACTCGATGACTCCTGAGGTCTCTTCCAGCCCTAGGATTCTAAAGCTGGGAGCTGGTCTAGCTGGCTGTACCAAAAGCTGCCGTTGGCTTGAACTGGATTATTTTTTAACTTGGCACCTCTGGTGGTGAAGCCAAAGCAAGTGACGAGACTGAGACCAGGTCACAGTGCAGCAGCTGAAGGCCTCTTATCTCCTCAGGACTGAAACCAAGGACAGCGCATGGCAAGGCTGCTGAATGAGCCCTTGCCATGGTTAACCTTGTCTCAGCCTGCTGTCCACACGCTAGCAGGCAAAGTACGAGGGTGGAAACAGAGGTGCCGGAGGCAGTGTCTTGCCCATGGTCATACAGCAAGTCAGTGGCGGAGCAGAGACTAGAGTCCCATTCTCCTGATTCCTGTGGTGCCCTATTCACTCAGTCCACTGTAACCTCCGTCTTTATCTCCTTCAGGTCGGCCCTGCTGGATCACAGTTTGGCTTGCTGGCCTGCCTCTTTGTGGAGCTCTTCCAGAGTTGGCAGATCCTGGAGAAGCCCTGGAAAGCTTTCCTGAACCTCTTTGGGATTGTCCTCTTTCTGTTTGTGTGTGGCCTCTTGCCTTGGATAGACAACATCGCCCACATCTTCGGCTTCCTCAGCGGCCTCCTGCTGTCCTTCGCCTTCCTTCCCTACATCACCTTCGGCACCGTGGACAAGTACCGCAAGCGGGTCATGATCATCGTCTCCCTGCTGGTCTTTGTGGGTCTCTTTGCCTCCCTGGTGGTGTGGCTCTACGTCTACCCCATCAACTGGCACTGGATCGAGTATCTCACCTGCCTGCCCTTCACTAGCAAGTTTTGTGAGAAGTACGACCTGGACCAGGTTTTGCATTGACCCCAGCCTGGAGACCGGGCAGGAGGGGGCAGAGATTCGAACATGGCAAGTTGGCACCAGGTGGCTTTTCTCAGTGACTGGAAAATTGACTTCAAATCATGGTGGGGCGGATGTTGCTATTGACTGCCCCAGTCTCCTGGCCTGCCATCTAAAGCCATGCGGGATGTTCACTCAGGGCAAGGCCTGCCTCAGAGCCCCGTCTGTCCCTTAGCACTGTTGCCGGGTGCTGGGCAAGTGGTGGTGTTTTGGGGGTGCTGCGCTGGCAGGTCACTACTGGATGTGGGGAGAATTGGAGATGAACTGACCTGGGCTGCACTCGGCAGTGGGGCCAGATCTGTTGGGGGAGACGGGTCTGTCACCCCGCATAGAAAAGCCATAATCCTCGGCTCCAGGTGTCACCCTGGGAGCCCAGCAGCTGCTTTGCCTAGGAAAGGCTTGATCCAAATGGGAACATGGGAGATTTTGGTGCTTTTGTTCTGTGCTGGGACAAGGCCTCTAGCCTGGGCCGTGCGGAGGGGATGACTCCACACAGCAACGTATGTTCAGAACCACCCTCCCCAGCATCTCTGCCTCTTGCGCTCAGACACTCCTTTCCCAGTGGGGCTGCAGGGCCCTTTCTCAGGGGATGGAAACCCCAAGAACGAGGCATTTCAGAGTGTGCCTTGAACACACCTGTTGATCTCAGTCTGCCTGGTTCCCTGCTGTCACTGTCGATGGCCTCTGACCTGACCTGACCTGACCTGTACCGCCCTTTCTTCCTTGTGCCTAATGATGTGAGACAGGGCTTCATGCCCTGTAGCCTTCTCCCCGTCTCGGTGCCTTGTGGGTACTATGAATCGTACTGTGAAAACCAGCCCTTGCTCTAGGGTGCGCTTCGATATTTCTTACCTCCCTAAGGCTCTAGTGGAAAACACTAGTCCTCAGCCATCACTCCAAACTCAATGCTCGCTGGTAAGAGTCCTCCAGTGCTCACTGGAAGCCCAGGCCTTGTTCTAGTAGCTCTGGGCAGTGAATGCTGTTGCCTAGGTCAGTGGAAACTGACTGTTTTAATGACACTGATGCAGAGTCTGATTTCCAATATGGTGCATAGGCCCTGACTCAAATTGAGCTGGGCTTTGCTGTGAAAACCACTCCATGGAAATCAGTCTCTGCATATTTCAGGTGCCAGTTCGGCCCAAGGGTGATGGATTTAGACCCCTACTGACACATTGTGGCGTGTTTGTCCCAATATCCATCACTAAAGTATCCCAGACTTTTCTGTTTGATCTTTAAAAGCGTGAAGGCCCCTCTTTAAAACAATTGGCTCCTGCAAGCTGCAAGGAATTGGAGTCGAGTTTTCTCTTGTAAGCACAGAAGCTGGGCCTGCCTCCATCTGTCTTGTTACTGGAATCTGCATTCCTAGCTAGGCTGACCAGGAAACTGTCATAAAGATGAACTAGCAAAGTAACACGCCACTGACAATTCTGGGTCAATGTTTGTGCATCTGCTGCAGAAGGCCGATGAAGGGGGACTGGGTTAGTCAGCAGCTGTTACAACTCCACCTTGCTTTGGACCCCCGGGTCTCCTGAATTCTCTCAGGAGATGGCTGTCAGAGGGGATTCTTCACATTTGACAAGGCCAGACTCCCCCACTGCCTTTCATTTTAAACCAATCGGGCTAGTATTGGGGTGAATGAGTAACTGCTGGCTATCCTTTGAAATCATGAGCTGGGAGAATGGACCAAAAAGCACCCAGGGAGACACCAAATCTCAGTTTCTTCCTTATCTCCTAGGGCTTCAGTACAATAACTCTCCAGTTAGTAACAGCGTGGCAGAGACTGTCCTGTATGGTTTGATATGTTCCTGTATATTAACTTGGCTGTTCAACTTTTAACAAGTACCCAAACTTTAATTCTCTTGTAACTAGGAGATGTCATGTTAGAGAGAGAGAGAGAGAGAGAGAACAATTAAGCTACATGGTGTTTGGACCACGTAGCACTGGGCTTTTGCAGTTGCTGCGTTCCTGGCTGGGATCTTTTCAAGAAGCAAGTATATGTTCATAAGTTCTCAATAAATTTAAAGTGAATTCACCCATGAGCAGAAGTGGGAAGTGCCTAGCACTTCGGCAGTGTTAAGAGTCTGCTCCCAGGAAGACGAAGGCTCTCACTTTGACACCCTTAGTTCTGACACAACAGATAATATTCAGGTCGGGGGGGTGCAATATGTGTGCTCTGCAGTGCTGGCTTCCAGCCCTGTGCGTGGTGGGCATCACACACCCGCCTGGCTGGGCCACTCTGCTGTGCAGTGCATAGCAGCTGCCCCCTCATGCGGAGAGGGGGGCTGTGGGTGGATCAGCGATAAAGCCCTACTGCTGGCCATGCTCTACTTCCTCAGTGGCTGGGAAGGGCTATCGGTTGAAGCGTGAAGAACGAATGCCTGGCGTTGCTGTCCTCCCTGCCTCAGTCAGGCAGCACGGGGCATCAGTGTGTTGCTCTAAGCACCCAAAGGCTCGTCTGACTTGTGATCAGCTGTCTCTGTCTGATGCGGGGAGGGGCCTCCTTCAGCTCAGACACTTCGAACAATCAAACCACTTTGTTTCACTTGTGCACGTGGAACCTGGCCTCACCCCATGTTGGTGAAAAGAGTCCGTGTTCCCAGTGCACGTGGGCTGGGGGGTGGCTGTGTATTGTCTGAGCATCAGTACTGCTTCTAGGCCCATGCTCCTCCTCCTCTCTCACTCTTGCTGTTTTATCCCAGGGCTGGAGCTCTACCATGTTGTGCCTGAAGCTTTTAAATACGGTATCTGATAAATGTGTCTATGTCAGAAGCGCTCAGAGCCTGGTTTCCATGCTCAGTCACTGCTGGTGGGCAGGTTACACTAGGTGGGGGTAGTGTGAACTCTTGCACACTTGTTTTGTGTCCAGTGGGGGAGGGAGGACGGAATAAATAGTCATGGTGGACTCTAAACCCGAAGCATCAACAAAATGATGGTGAAATACAGGTTGTCTAACTCTTCTTAATAAGCCTGGCTATCGTCTTAATTTGCGACTGTGATGGCGAGTCGGGGTTCCCCCTGAACATGCAGCCCAGTAGCAGCAAGAACAGACTCCGCCACCCAGTAGAACAGAGAGGGTTTATTGCTTCTCCAGGATACAGCACAGCATAGACGTGACGTGGCTACAGGAGTCTGGACCAGGATGCCTCAGACCCCTTGAGATGGGGTGCCTTGGCCCTTGGACTCCCAGCCCCCTCCTTAGTCTGTCTCCTTCACGATTCCAGCCAGAAACTGACCCTTTCCCTAACACTCCCCCCGTTGTTCCATCCCTTCCCTTATCCAATAGAACCGGTTTGGTCACTGTCATGGGGGCCCTCAAGGTGCCCCCCGCTGGGCGGTGCTTACAGACAGAGGCCAGTAGGGGTCATCCACAGCCCAAGCGCAGCAACCAGCAAGGTACTGACACTACATCACAGCGACACTAAAGATTCTTGGGTCAGTTATCCTAGAGCAGAACCAACCACTGCTTCCTTTGGCTCTTCTCCCAAATGCAGTCGTTCTCCCTGGACTGGTGCCCTCACCTGAATGCTTCTCTCTTTAGTAAATGTGTTACCAGGTACTGTGTAATGTCTGTCGCCGGCACCTACGGCCTGCATTACTGTAACAACTGAGCACCTCACACTAACGTGCCTGGGCGATAGGGCCATGGAATTATCCCTGTTCCTCAGATGGGGGAGCTGAGGCCCAGTGTCGCCGTTGCACAAAGCCTCACAGGAACACTGGTGGTGGTGCAAGGAATTCGATTCAGGTCTTCAGAGACCTTGAGTAAGTGTTCTAACCACTGGACCTTCCTTCCTCTCTAATAGCATGCTAGACCAGCCTTCCATATACTTCTTATATAGCTAATACTGTATTCCCAACCCAACTGGGAGGCAGTTTCTCCTGAGCAGCTGCACAAGTGCAGAGTTTACAGAGAACACTTGAAGTCAGCTGGAGTCTCTTCATTGATGTAAGATCAGACTCTATTTAATGGCACTTGTAGGGGGAATATATCATTTATTTCTTTAGTTGTGGGTTTCCTTGCTGACTTGGCAAACATAAGAACTAGGGGTCACCAAAGGAAATTAATAGGCAGCAGATTTAAAACAAACAAAAGGAGGTTTTTCTTCACTGAGCGCACAGTCAATCTGTGGAACTTCTTGCCAGAGGATGTTGTGAAGACTAGGATTTTAACAGGGTTCAAAAAAGAGCTGGATAAATTCATGGGGGTTAGGTCTGTCAATGGCTATTAGCTAGGATGGGTAGGAATGGTGTCCCTAGCCTCTTTCAGGCTGGAAACAGATGACAGGAGAGGGATCACATGATGATTACTTGTTTGTTCACTTCCTCTGGGGCTCTGGCACTGGCCACTGTCAGCAGACAGGATACTGGGCTAGATGGACCTTTGGTCTGGCCGTTCGTATGGTAACCTGCACTGTAGTGAAATTTAATGAGCAACTGAATTCTGGTGCTTAGAGACAATCAAAGGGCATATTCAAATGACGAACTCCATGTGCCTTTCGAGCGGTTTGTGGTGTCCATTAGGTAGCGTTTGCAGCCCCAAACCCAAGCCTGCCTCAAGCAGTGAAACATGGAGCTACCCGTAGCTCTGGCTAGTGCCAAGTGCCTCTTCCTGTTGCTGCCATCTCCCCTCTCGCCTATGCAGGCTCTAACTGCTGCCTGCTTTGACTTCACTGGAACAGCAGTGTCTGCTCCTGCAGCATCCTTCCCTAGGGGAGGCTTCACCCAGAAGAGAAGCCTGTTCTAAGTGGTTGGGACCAAGCAGTTGGCCAATTCCTGTATTTTGCAGAGAGCCTGCCCAAGACCTGTATCCTGTCTGAATTCCATGCTGGGGCCTGCAGACTCTGCCTTGGCCAAGAAAGCCAGCAACTGTCCTGGGATTCGTGTGGTAAATGGGCTGAGTGGCAGGAACAGAGCTGTCACTTAATACAGGCCCAGCAAACGCTCCTAGCATAGATACTGCCTATACAGGCAGCGCCTCCTTTTGCCGAGAGAGCTCTCACCAGCGTAGCTCGGGGACTCTTGCTGGCATAACTCCAGCCCTGCTAGGGCTTTGGTCTCAGGTTCACAAAAGCAACACTCCTAGCCAACACTTATGATAATGGCAAAATATTCTAGCATCTAGTTCCCCTGCTAGGGGGAGAGGCTGGGTTAACTCCAGAGGGCAAGCAGGACCGGGTGGGGTGGGATGGGTGGAAATCGTGTGTTCCTGCTTTAAATTCCAACTGCCCCAGTAGGGAGTATGCAAAAGGCCTTCCCTGGTGTGGGAGAGCTAGATACTCTGAGCCCCTCTGGCGGCCGGTGTACACGTGTTGCTGTGTGTGACGTGCTGATAGCACCGTCCTACGAGGGTGCTCTGATCTGTCCTGCTGGTTTTCCTGTCCTGCACAAGATGGCTCTTGCCACCTTCCTGTTGCTGTGGATGCTTGTTGGGACCAGGTTGGTTTAAAACTCTGTTCTGAATGAAGTCTAGGTCCAGGCAGGACAAGTGACCTGGCTTTTCTTGCGAAGGGTGGATAGGAAGGTGCTGAGCATCCTTGGAAAGCAGATGGGGCTCTGTGGAAAAGAAAGGCAGCACATCTCTCGATGATGGCCTCCTAGGCTCTGTGAGAGCCCAAACTAGAGAGTGCAGGGCTGTTATTCCACATGATCCCAGCAGCAATAATCTCTCAGGTTATTGGGGGCTTTAAAATCCTCTGTCCCTTGTGCATTCATGTTGGATATTTCCAACCTTCCCATAGCTAAAAGGGGGAAGATGCTTTGTGGGCCACTGGCTTTTGGATGTAGCCTCTCAAATGTGCAAAGCAAACTGCCACTCCCTTTGTGCCACTCTGGTGCAGGCTGTTGAATTCCGTTGAAAACTGTTCTGAATGAAATCTTAAGTCCAGGTAGGACAAGTGACCAGGAAAACACACACAACCCAATTAGAAAACACAACAAATAAACTCTTTATTTGCTGATTAACAAAAGAACTGACAAACAGCGCACAGTGTGCCCCGGGAACTTTCATATTTCCAGTGAACTAGGATGGCATAAGCTAGGAGCTCTGGTCTACACACAGCACTGGTCCACGAAGGATGATGTACCTACCCTCCTTGTTTTTAAGAAATAAACCAAGTGATGTTGCCACTTTGGGATTTTGCAAACCCTTGCATGCTTATTGGATTAATTTGACGTGTATGACTTTTCATTGGTGCTTTGGATTTCTCTAGATAGGGACCACAAAGGTACCTTAAAAGGTCTGTTGAGAATTCTACCCCTTATAACTCTTTGGAGATGGGAGTTGATGGGGATGTCTATCTAGTGATGAAGTCGCCTTACTGGGCTTCTTAGAGAGCATTTGCTCCACGCCCTATTTGGCTTTCCTTAGACTGTGTACACGCTGTGGATTTTGGACCGCATCTCCTATGTTGGGTTGGAAGTTGGTGCCCTAGTCTGTTGGAGCAGTGATGGGTGCCATCACTGGTCTCATAATAATGTAGCATTCTCACGCTTCCACTAGTTGTCAGCCTGTAACAGTAGGAAGGCGAGGCAGGGGAGGCTTGCTGGAGCCTAGCAGAGCAGAATGTATCTTACATATGTACAGAAGGCGTGAGCACGGATTCCATTAAATGCATCACAGCAGAATATGGCAGCGAGCAGCTAGTGAGAGAAGGCGTGGACAGCTTTTCCCAGCAGAGAGCATGAGAGGTGGCCACAGTGGAGCATGTGCCCTGCCTTGTGGCGTTGGCGTTGGAACATTTGACAAAGAACAAAAACACAGAATCCATGAACTGATCCAGGCGGTGCAGCTTCTCAGGCAATGTTTTCCCCCTTTTGAACAGCATAACATGCTATTGGAGCTTTGTCACCCTCTTCCCTCCCCCCACCTCCCCCCGTTGCCACTTTTAAAGCCAGGAGCTATCCAGGGGAGGTCAAATTCAGCAGCAGTAGCTGTAGGCAACCTGCCGGCTGAGCTGTGGGCTGGACAAGAGGCCTGGGTGATTCTGGTGCCTTTTGCTCCACATCTGTAAGTGACAGCTGGGACCAGTGTGGAGGCCAGTGGGATGGGCCTGGAGTCCTTAGATAAAAGGCAGCCAACTGGGACATGGGACACAAGTCAGCAGCAAGTCGGGGTCTGCTCGTACAGAGAGCAGCTACTGCTGCTCAGCTCTGTCTTTCTGGACTTGGGTCTCTGCCCCACCATTGCCTGAGAAGCATTGAAGCTGGGGAAGGAGCCATCTCAGCAGCCGCTGTTTCTGCGCATGAAGGCGTGGCCCCGCACGGGGTACTGCATCTCTATGAAAGCCAGCGAGCCCACAGTGACCTGGCAGGGGCCCAGCACCCTGAAGCCGCACTTCTCGTAGAAGGGGATGAGAAAGTCCTCGCACATCAGCACGGCCCGCCGCACGTAGGGCAGGCAGCGGAGGTACTGCAGGTAGCGCCACATCAGGATGGAGCCCTTGCCCTGCTGGCGGAAGGTGCGGTGCACGGCCAGCGCATGGATGTGCACCGTGGTGCCACCGGGCTTGTGCAGAGTCAGTGCGTCCTGCCAGGGGAGAGAGCAAAGTGTGTTGGCAGATGGCGGGTCGGTCCCTGCTGGAGGATTCTCTAGAGAGCATGTTCAGCTGGCCGAGCTGCAGGTGTCACTCCAGATCTGCCGCTGGTGTGAATGAGCAGCCTCCGTGGGAGTAAGCGCACGCACACCAGCTGCAGCTCTTGTCCAAGCCACTGACCTTCTCTGGAGACATTAGCCAAGCACAGAGTGCCTGGCAGACAATACCCAATGGCTCACCATACCCCTGCACACCGCACGGGTAGTGTCATCCCTGCTTCATGGGGAAAACAGGCATGGACAGGTTAGGGGTGGATTGTCCAGAGGTGATACACTCCAAGTCCCCACCTCCCCTGTCCCCATCTCCAAATGGTTTTAACTGGTGCTGTGGCTGCTTAGCCCTTTCTGAAAATCAGGCATTTGCCCAGGCTTCCAGAGGGGCAGGGAAGGAGCCAGGAATATTCCTGGGAGTCCCGCCTCCTAGCTTCCTGCTCTGACTGGAGAGCGTTCCTTCTGCCATAGCTTCTGGGGCCCTTTGTAGTTTTAATTACTTGTAATTCTAAGGAGGTTTTTTAATATTAAACATGTTTGCAACGTGCCTCGTATATTCGATACCAAAGACGTAAAAGAAATGAGTTACCCTGTAGCAATTAGTGCTGCAAGACCTGCGTCTCTTTGGGAGTGAACTTGCTCCACATTGCAAACTGATCAGTTTCTACAAGCAAAGCGTTTTGCAGAGGAGAGTGGCTGAGTCAGCTGCATGTGCGTTTGTCACTCGGAGAATAGCCCTGTGTGGTTTGCAGTTAATCGATCGTCGGTCGACTCTCGGTTTTCAGTAGTATCCACTTCAAGAAGGAAAATTGCTGCTGACTGGGGAGCGGGCAAAGAGGACAACTACCCTGGGGCCTGCCAGTTTAAAAGGGTGCAGCAATGCCCAGAGCCCCGGGCACTTTAAATCACCGAGGGAGCCTGCATAGCTGTTGGGGCTGCCTGGGGCAGCAGAGGCCCTGCGCTGTGGGGGCCTGTAAGAGTTGGAAGGGGAGGCTAGCGTAGCACACTCCGGGTGGTGCCGACCGCCCCTTCTGGGAGTGCAGAGCTGCCCCCTCCACCTCCCCCGGGCGCCCGGCATGGCTGGCTGCTGCCCGTTTCCAGTGCTAGGCAGCAACCTTAGGCCGGAGGAAAGGGGAGTCGTATACACAAGGAGCACTAGACTAGGGATGTTAAATATCGGTTAATTGAATAGTTGAGTCACCTCATGAATTCTTATCGGTTAGTCGACTATTCTATAGTCCCTGGGGGTGGGGCTAGCAGCCAGTGCGCCTCACTCCCAAGGAGCCCCCTGCCATTTCATAGGGTGTCAGGCAGGAACTGGTCTGAGGGCAGCTCTCCTGGCGGATTGGCTAGCTGTCACCCTGTGCTGCTACGTCTGAGAGAGGCAGCAGTGCAGGGTGACAGCAGCCCTTGCCTAGGGTGGGTCTGCGCTGCGCTCCTGGACCCTGCCTGCCCGGCTCCTAATACACTTTAAATGCAGAGCCACAGTGGGGGTAGATCCTGGACCCGACACTAGTCAGGACTGAATCGGGCCGGTTGCCAGCCTGTTTAAAAAGTGTACTGGTGTGGGGAGGAGAGGGAAATGCGTTTAGTCTATAGCATTAACCTATACGCTTTTGCTGACACTGTTACATCCCTACTACAGGGCATGCTACTGTGGCGCTTAGCCAAAGCCCTGCTGCCCCAGAAGCTGTGGGGGGGTGTGAAACGAAGAGCCCAATGGCAAACAGGGCTGAACCATGGCTTCAAAGCTGGAGAGAATGGCGCCTCCCCTGCCTGTCTGAACTACATGGAAATGTGGCTCATGGGTGGAACCACCCCCACTTTGCTGCTCTGCACTTGGGGGCTCAGCATGGCCCACGGTCACAACGGATCCCTTGGAGGCAGTGGTGATGCTCAATACCCACAGCCAGGCCTATGTGCACTCCAGCCTCCTGTGTCAAAGCTCGGGTGCCCTCCCCTCCCCCTCCAGCATGGAAAGGAAACAGCCCAGCAGCAGTAACAGAAGCTGGTTCTTACCTGGCTGAGTTTTTCCTGGTCCCAGAGGGATCCAATAATGAAAGCCACGAGCCGGCCTTCTTCAAACCAGCCGAGCGAAAGCTCGGGGCACAGGTTCAGGAAGTGGCGAATTTCATCCATGTGAAGGGGGCAGTCGCCGGAAACCGAGATAAATGCTAGAGAAACACAAAAACAAGACTGTCAAGAAGGAACAGTCTCTTGGGTGCTATGCTGCAGCCTCCCCTAGGCTGGGAGTCCCTCGTAATTGTGATGGTGAACTGGAATTAGCTCAGCAAACACGAGGTGTGAACTGAAGTCCTGGCTCCAGCCACTCTCAGGCTTTGGGAAAGTTTGACTCCAGATCAGAACTTTTTTTGTAGCTCCAGCTGATCTGCTTCCAGTGGGAGAAGCCACGAGGACCTGGCCAGAAAGGACTGGGATTGTCCTTCCCACCCACCCCTCTTGTGGAAGCTGCTTCCTTTTTAGAAGTTTGGCCCCTCCCACTTGAGGAAGTAAAGCCCTGGGCTCTCCCTAGCAGGAAAACTGTTCCCTGATCGGTACCTCACTGAACCTGGACACTTCTTTAAGGCTCTCTCCAGCCCGGGGAGGAGGGGGGCTTCCGAGTCACTCCTTCAGCACTGGGCCTCAATTTAAAACCATCATGGATATTTATATAGTTTCAAAGTTCTTGCTAACTGAGTTGGGAAACACTAGTCCTGAAATTCTAATTCTTGCTACCTGGGAAACAATCAATAGATGGAGAAGTAGTTTGGGATCGATACAGGGATGTAGATGTTGCAACACTGAAGCCCACAGCACCACTGGAGGTATTTAAGAGCAAGTTACATAGATGTCTATCAGGGATGATCTAGATGGTACTGGATCCTACTGTGAGTGCAGGAGACAGGACTTCATGACCTCTTGAGGTCCCTTCCACGTCTAGTATCTAATTCTAATTTTTAGGAGCCTTTACAATCACAAGTATCAGAGGGGTAGCTGTGTTAGTCTGGATCTGCAAAAGTGACAACAACGTCCTGTGGCACCTTTATAGACTAACTGAAGTGTTGGAGCATAAGCTTTCGTGGACAAAGACCCACTTCGTCAGATGCATGTAGTGGAAATTTCCAGAGGCAGGTATAAATAAATATGCAGGCCAGAATCAGGCTGGAGATAATGAGGTTAATTCAGTCAAGGAGGGTGACAATCACAAGCGTGCACAGCAGCCCACAACAATGAATTAGCCAGCGAGGGTCTCTACAAGGAAGGGGGAAGATGGGTGGTCTGGCCCTGGGATCAACAAAGCCAGCATGCTAAGAGTGGAGCCTCCTGCTGACGTCTGCAGGTGCCTCCGATGAGAGCAGAGTGCTAAACCCGGCTTGGCTCTGATGTCGGGGCGTTGCAGCTGAGGTAGCTGCCAGTCTCTGCTAGTGATCTGCGGATGGCAAGAAGCAGCCTGGAGGCGGGGGAGCCTGCCTCGTGCCATACCAAACAGCTGGAAGTCTCCTACCTCTCAGAGCCATGCTCTACCCACTGGGCTACAGAGTCCTTGTCTCTCTCTGGCCCACGCCTGGGACTGATTTTGTGAGCAGTGCCACCACCTCCCCTCTTCCAGCCAGATTTGAGTGAGCGTCTAGGGTAAGGCAGCAGCGCACATGCTTAAAGGCAGAAATACGGGGGCCTGAGGAACTTGTGCCCTGAAAACATAGGCCCAGTGGGAGTGTAGGGAGTTTTGTTGAGGGCAACCCAAACTAGGAGTTAGCTGCCCCCAGCTTGCGCTTAGGCGCCTCAGCATCTGCAGTCTGAGCTTTGTGCTTGGGAATGCAGGACGGTCTAGGGTAAGGCAGCAGCGCACATGCTTAAAGGCAGAAATACGGGGGCCTGAGGAACTTGTGCCCTGAAAACATAGGCCCAGTGGGAGTGTAGGGAGTTTTGTTGAGGGCAACCCAAACTAGGAGTTAGCTGCCCCCAGCTTGCGCTTAGGCGCCTCAGCATCTGCAGTCTGAGCTTTGTGCTTGGGAATGCAGGACGGGCTATTGCCTTCTGGAAATCACTGTATCTCTCTTTGCCCTGAGCCCCTTCCAGCTTCCATTTCAAGGCCTGCTTCTCCACTGCCCCGTTTCTCATGCAGTCATTTATATCGGCACGGCCGTATTTACAGCCACTGTGCTCCCCCTTCAGGAGGTATAAATGAGATGATGGTGGAGAATCTGGTCTTGTTGCCACATGCTGTGTCCAAGGGAGGGGTTAGCTCTGCTGTCTCTTGCTGTTGGCCACTGCCACACAGACTTACTCTTGCGAGTTTGCTGCTATTCCTTCAAAATGTATCATAGGAGAGAACAAAGGACCAAACTCGGCCCAGACCTGAGGGCCGATACAGCCCAGGGCTTGCAGGTTTTGCAAACCCGAGATCTCCTGAGAATAACTAAACTAGCTGCAATGCTCTGGGCTCCAATACGCACTGCTCTAACTCTAGGGTTTGAAGATTGAAATGTTTGTTCTAACGTTTGATTCCCAGCTGGCTTGAGTGTTCCAGGTCAGGTGTGCACAGCAAGCGAGGGGGAAACACTCCACGATGAGGGGGAAAAGTTATTTGTCCCCAGTGGGATCTGGCCCAATCACCTGCTATGGCAAAAAGCCCTTCCCAGAGCAGAATGAGGGCCACGTGCTTTCCCGTGTAACCAAGGTGCAGGCTGCAAGAGAGTGGTCCTTGCTGGAGAGTGGTGCTGGTATGTGAATACAGATGACTTTGGGGTGGCTGTAGGAATCTTGGTATTGACTCCAATGGGGCCAGGAATGGGCCCCTTTAAATGAGTTCCACTATATAACACCTTGCTTCCAGCTCCCTAATGCTGCCTCCACCTCTGACTCTCCCTCTGCTTGTGGGAAGAGGGAGACGGTGAGTTTTCAAATACATTTGCAAAACAGGGACCCTGGAGCTTGTAACCGATCTGACCTAAGGATGCTGGGTAAATGGGTCACTCCTCTTTCCACTTCTTCCTCCATTGCTATCTACTTAGCTCTCTCAAGCCTTTCAGGGTCCAGCTTCTGAGGCAGACACTGTAACGACTCTTAGCTGTTCGTAATTGTAGGATGCCCAGCCCTGTTCCCCTACAGACAGAGAAGCGTGTCCACTTGCACAACAGTGCTGGCCCGGGGCAGTACCGTGGCTTTTGGCCGAGCAGAACTAAGGCAGGGGGCTAGTGGGGAAGGAGGGCTCTTACCTTCTCTCTCAATCTCAAATACGCTGATTGCATCCTCGGGGGAGAGGCACCGGAATTCGCTAGCAGGCAGCGTGTGGCGGCGCTGGCGGCCCGGGGAGCTCCGTAGAGGCTGCAGGTGAATGGGCTTCAGGAAAGGCAAGGCGCTGATCACGGACATCCTCCTCCTTTATTTCTGGCGTCCTCTGCAAACGTCTCCTCCTTTTGGCCACTGGTGTCGTCAGCGAGTGGCTATTTCAGTAAATCTTCTCCAGAGTGATCTGCCAAAAATACCTGCCAAGCACGTACTGGATTAGGTGGCCTGCCTCCCTCCCTATATATGCAGGCTGTGCCCTGAGAGCCTGTAGGCCCACCCAGCCTCTCAGCGCAGACCCGCTCAGGCTCTCAGACATAATTGCCATCACAAGGCAAGTGGGGGACCTCTGGTCACGGAGATGGGACTCTGGCATGGGAGGATCACAAAAACAACCGCCCCCACCAGCCGGCTGAAGGGTAGGAACAAAAGCCAGCCACCTGGTGACCGAGGCTGAGAGCAATAATGACAGAGCTGGGGGACGAGAAATGGCTCTGAGAGCCTGGGGAGCAGCGAGCAGGGTTAAGTGGTGAGAGAGGCAGGGTTAATGCGCTGACGTGAGCAGGGAGAGGGAAGGTGGCGCTAAGGTCACCAGAGAGCTGGATCTGGTGCCTCAATCACTCTTAGGGCCTGGTCCTGCCCAGCGCTGAGGCTCCTGCTGAGTGTTGAGCACCCACCGCTCACCCTGGCTTCGGTGGGAGCTGAGCACCTTGCAGGAGACACGGAGCAGCTTGCAGGATTGGGCCCTTAATGCTGTCAAGCCAATCCTCTGCTTTCTGGGAAGCTCTTACTGTAATCGTGTTAACAAGCTGAACAGAGGGGCTCACAGCCCAGCGCTTTTCCTCCCCTGGGAAGAGGAGGAAGTGGAGGGGTGACATGCAGAGCAAGTGATTTGTTGAGGCTCTTTGTCGTAGGGAGAACTCGGGAGTTTGGAGAGGGTGCCACTGTACGGAGAAACCATCAGCCCAGCAGAGAAGCCCTGTGGTACTGATGAACTGCAGCTGGAGGGCACACGTAGGCCTGGGCAAATGTGACGTGCCCGGGCAGAGAATCCATGGGAACAGATACAGTCTGCATGGGTACAAGCTGTCTCCTGAATCTCTCAGGCTACAGCTTGTCCAGCATCCGGCTTGTACGGTGTCTGTTAGCAGCTTCCCAGATAGATTGTCCATGGCAAGAAGAGTCCACAAATGACTCATTAGTGAGGGCAGGGTCAGACGCTGGCATTAGCTCTGTGGTTTTCAGTTACCGGCAAGAAAGGGGAAGTCTCAGTGGTTGCTCAGACTTGGGGAGACATGCTGGAATGTGTCTGCAGCTGTTGTTTACCACTGGGTCTAATTATACACCAGCGACTTCAGGGAGCAACCAAAGAAACCTCCCCAGCCGCTAGTTCGGGTGGCTTCCTTGGTGCTCTCTGAGCAGCATCTCGGATTTTGATCAACTCATCTGTAGAGCTGATCAACCTACCTGGACTTCTCCTGAGAGCTTGCTGAGCTTCTCGAGTGTATACACAGTAGCCAATGTGGGCCAAATGCTGGGAGAAGTTTAAGCTGGTATGATGTACATCTATTTCTAGCCCCTTAGCAGATAAATTACACCAGCTTAGCCTCTGCTGTACTTTGTGTCGCTGTGCCTGCACTAGGAAAAGTGTGTGGTTTGCAATCAGATAGCTAACATGCATTAGCTAAGCTGGTGCAACACCCAGCAGGTGGGGAGACAAAGCCGTAGTACTTTGATGTAGCTGGTTGAGGGGACCCTTAGGTGAGGAGCAATCTAATTTAGATGTCGAAGGAAAGACAGGAGTGCAGCAGGAAATGCAGCTAACTAGCCGCGATTTAGTTCGGATCGGACCTCCTTTTAAGCAGAAGGTTGAACTCTCTAACCTCCTGAGGTCTCTTCCAGCCCTAGGATTCTGTAAGCGGAGGTAGGGGAGGCCACATAGATATCATACATACCTGGCCTGGGTCCGGTTTTCACCCGGACAGACCGTTATTTCTGGTCTCTGTCCGGTTTAAAAAAAACCCAGAAAATACCGGATATGTAAAGTGTCTGGTATTTTCTGTTTCTCAGACAGAAGGCCAGTGGGGACATTCTTCCCCTGCCGCATTTGGTGAGGAGCACGGGGATATTTAAAGGCACAGCGCCTTTTTCGTTTTGCTCAACAAATCTGGCTCCCCATTTCTGTTTCTCTCAACCAATTTTTTTTCCTGCCATGTTCGGGATTTTTGTAAAGTATCTGGCAACCCTAGGCCTGGGCTGATAAATTCCCATGGTACAGTAAACTTCTGATAATCCAGCACCTTTAGGACCCAGGGGGTGCCGGATTATCAACTATGCCGGAGTACCGAAAGGGAGACTATGAAGGGTCTGGGGTGGGGTGGGGGATCGGCGGGGAACTGCGCAGCATGGGTGGGGATGGTGCTGTGGGACCAACCTGGCAGCACCCCAGCTGCTCTGCCCCCCACTTCTCCAAGTCAACTGCTGGTCAGTTTCAGCAGCAGCGGACTTGGGGAAGCCAGGGCAGAGCAGCTCCAATTGTTCAGCTGGCTGGAGCACTTCCGGGTTCCAATAGCCCGGTACAAACTGGGAGTGCCGGACCATTGGATGCCGGACAATTGGAGTTTTACTGTAGTTTGATAAGACCTTGTCAGTAACAAAACACATGCTCCATGTGTGACTGAGCTATAGCAGGGCTTGCAGAGTCTCTCCTCCAGAGGAGACAAGCCTTGGCTCTGGTGCATACAAAGGGAATTATTTACTGAGGCTGAACTGTAGCTCCCAAGTGACTAGCCCCAGCTTGTTCTGCCTGATAACACCAGGCAGGATCTACCTTAGATGGTCCAACCAAATCCCGAGGTTGGAATAGCCCTGAACCTGGATCTGGATTCAAAACCTACTGCTGGGAGCTGCCTTAGCTTCATGTGTGGTGGAGAGAGAGCTCAAGCCCAATTAGTAAACCTGCCTCATATCGTCATGAGACTAGACACAGATGTGCAGGAAGACAGCACAAACTTCTGCAAATCACTTCTCCCACAGGCAGAATTATTTGCCAACTGAATATTGTAAGGGATCACTACAACCCATGTGAGGAAATGAGACCAGGTCACCAAAGACTATTGTTCAACAGGTGCTGGCCTCCCCTCCAGATTATAGACTGGCAACAAACTAGTAGGATTTGCCGAAATAACAAAGCAAAGCACTGCCAGCAGACATGGTGCATCAAAAGCAGGACTGCACGGGGGTGGTATTAAAGTGCTGCTTTTTCTCTAGTTACATCAAATTGCCAGATTTACCAAGGTCTGGGGCGGCAGTGGGGTTGTTTAATGCAGTCTCTCCACAAATGCGTCTGAGTTCTGGAAGCAAACTCTGACAGTGTGACGTGTGTGTGCACGCAGGGAGTGTGCTCTTCAGAGCGAAGGGAGAGCGATTAGGACACGGACTTTCATAGATCCCGGAAGTCTTTTTTAGACATGACAGGAACTGTGGAAGCCTGCGGTGATAGCCTTTCCCCTCTGACTGCTGAGGACAGAGGGTGAGGCTCTACTGAAATCAGAGGCAAAATGCTCATTGACTTCAATGAGCCCAGAATTTCTCCTTCTGAATTTGAAGTATGAGAACTGCAAAAATGTTCATGTGCCATTATCCTTTTCTTAAGTCACAAGTATTGAACACTTGCTTAGGCTATGAACGAACACCTAGGCTATGTCTACACTGATCTTGCGCCAGAAGTATGCAAATGGGGCTAAGCGTAGAATATCGCTGAGCCTCATTTGCATACCTAATTAGCCGCCATTTTGCGGAAGAGGCGCTTGCGCTAGAATGAGCTGTCTACACTGCCCCTTCTTGCTCAAGAAAAACCCTCTTGCGCAATGCCATTACGCTGATTATTTTCAGGAATAACGGCATTCTGCAAGAGGGTTTTTCTTCTGGCGCAAGAGCCTCTTCTGCAAAAATGGTGGCTTATTAGGTATGCAAATGAGGCTCGGCGATATTCCATGCTTAGCATCATTTGCATTCTTCTGGTGCAAAATTGCACCAGTGTAGACAATAACCCTAATGTCTTCTCTCTGCTCCACAGTCCTTTCAGCTGTGCCCCTTTCAGCCAGGTGCCATCAAGTTCATTTAAACTCTTTAAAATCATTGTATTCCAATATTCATCTGATTAAAATTGTATTTATTGCCCTGATCAGCTAGAATAGTGAGAGTCTTTTCTGTGTATGAATGCAGCTAATGATTTAACTCCTCTCTCATACTGGCCTTCAGGAGTTACTTCTATTCATCAAGATGTGATTGTAATAAGGCCTGTGAGCCTCCCTGTGCTAATTTGATTAATTCTAAAGATCATTTTAGAAATGGATATTTCATGTTCCTTTGTTGGGACAGGGACTAGGGTGAAATATAGCAATGGCCAAACTACTAGGAGAGTATTTAAGATTTACTAGTGAATCAGATGGAGCCCGGCTTACTGCTGATTGGATTAACTAGTTAGGGTGATTCATGGTCCAATCAGAGATACCCCAGAGGATGCAATGCAAGTTACTTTAGACTGAAAAATATACATCAATGTTTTCATCCTGTGATGTGCTGTCTCGGCTGCTGTCTGACTGTAATTTCAGTTCCAAATGGAGTGTGTGGTTGATTGATCAGTTTGTAACTCTGGTGTTTAACTGAGGGTCTACTGTATCATAGACCTTTATACACAGGGGATGGGATTTTTCTAAGCCAACTAAGGGATTTGGACATCCAATTTCCAATAGAAATTAATGGGAATTTGATAGCTAAATCTGCCAGGCAGCTTTAAAAAAAATCCATCCAAGATCACTATTAGGGACCATCTACGCCGGGCAAAAGTCAGACACACTAAAAAAGGCTACTTTATTTTAGTTTTTCCTTTTGATTTTCTGGTTTGAAATTACCTGTTTTGAAATAAGTTAATTAACATGAATGGTTTTTGAGCATTTCAAAATGTTGTTTTGACCGTTTTAAATTTAAAAAAGAAACACTTCCATTTTTTAAGGATTTCCAGTTTGCTAAATTTTTCAGGATCTTGCCCTTTTTTGTTACAATTCAGACTGACTACTTTTCCCAATCTCTAATTTTCATGGGATGGGGAAACCATTTCGCACTCATCTCGATCATTCTCCCATGTCAACCTTCGGGAAACGGAGGCATGCGGCAATGAAGTGACTTGCCCAAGATTGAACATGCAAATATTAGATCCCTCACATTCATGTGCCGAAGGAATCTAAACATTCATACAAACCATGGAGATGTATGTGCTCATCTGCTCAAGCACACACTGACAGGCAACTGAAACCAATGTTCTCTCCAGTCTAGTATGTAAATCTATTTTGATTGGTCTTTGAATGCTCAGGTCGTGTGGAAACAATGAGGGTTTGTTTGCATCACAAACCATAAGTTTAGGTCTGAAAATTCTTCTTGCAGCAAAGCGCTGTCTATTCCAAAATGTGGGGTTTTCAGCGCCAAGACTCCACCTGCTCAGATTTGGGATGGATGCAGGGGCTGGGGGAATACCATGGGATCCACATTCTAATCAATGTCTATGCATACACATTTTAATGTAACAAAGCTCCTTGCACTACAAGACAGCGCACCAAATGCAATTCTATGGAGAACAGAATGGCCTCTTTACAGGCTGCTTTCCACTCTAGAAAATCAGTACCACACATTTCAGTAAAGTTGCAGACAATTAATTACCTGTGTGCGTGTATGAAACAGGGTTTCTTGTAAGAATGCCAGAGTTGTTCCTCTAGATGGCGTGGTCTGGTCTTGCAGTCTTACCGCCAGAGGAGAAAACAGGCAGCAGTGAGTTTTGACCTACCTACTGCTTTTACTTTGCTGTGATTTACGAAGCTCTTGCTTATATATTTGTTATGTACAGAGCACGTGATAAAATAGTAAGACGTTTATAAACCCTGCTGAGTCACAGAGAGAGGTGAGAGGCTTTAAGGTGACATGCCAGCAAAAGCATCCGATGAGGCTTTTCTTTCCTGGCTTGAGTGTCTGCAGGGGGATAAAGCATTTTAGCTGATTGCTAGATACTCAGAGTTGCTTGCACAACTCAGGTGGCCAAGTAGCTAGACCCAATAACTAGGTGAAGAGCTAGAAAACATGAAATAACACATCACTATATAATGCAAGGAGGGTCAGATCTAGATCCATTTGAAGTCATAAGAATGGCCAGACTGGGTCAGACCAAAGGTCCGTCTAGCCCAATAGCCTGTCTTCTGACTGGCCAATGCCTGGTGCTTCAGAGGGAATGAATAGAACAGAGAATCATCAAATGAGCCATCCCTGGTTGTCATTCTCAACCCTGACAGACAGAGAATAGGGGTTGCATAAGACCCTTCAATGAGCTAAAATCCAGCATGGTGAAAGCAGCTGTAATGTCATTGCTTTTGGTGCAGCTCCACCCACTTGCATCACAAATTGGAGCTGCAATTGACCCCGTGGGTTTAATAAGTATTCTCAGCAGAGCTTTTAGCTTTCCAGTCAATTGATGGGTTTTGTCTGTAGGTAAATATGTTGTGGAATGACTTACATTGCTAATCCCTAGCAAAGCAAGAAATGGACTCATGGGACTTGCAAAATGAAATATAAGGAGTCTGTGTTTCTTCTTGCTTACGTGAAAAGATAACACCACTGAAGCCATTGCAGTCAGCCTGGTGTAAAACCAGCACGAGGGATCAGAATTTGGGGCAGCCCTAGGAAAGCAGAACCATGAACATGCTGTTGAGCTTGGACTGCGAACAGACATGCATCAGGAAATTACTACCAGTTGAGGCAGGAGGGCTGTTTTCACACTAAAACTGCGTACGCAGCAGCAGCAGTCTACAAGGTGCTTTACTAAACTCAGAGATAAATGGCTGGAGGTGGCTCCCGTTTATGCTGGTGTCAATCTGGAGTAACTCCAGTGAGGTCTATAGAGTTACCCTTAAGGAAAAATCAGAATCTGACCGAAAGTTTCTGCTCTGAGGGTCTTACGATTTAAGGAGCCAGGCTGCAGTGAGATTTTATGGCTGAGTAAAGCCATCAGGATTTTGCCCTAGCTGAGGCAAATACAAGATGGTAGCAAATATTTCAGACACAAGATAACCTTGCTGGTACCTTCCTTTGTTATCAGCAATGACTTTATGGGCCAGATCCTGTTTGGAATTAGTGATGTAAAAGTGAAGTGACTTCATTAAAGTCACTAGTGTAACACTGATGTAAAATGGGAATAACAAAGAGCAGAACTTGGCTCTTTATGCGGTTAAAGTAAATCTGGAAGAGGTCAGGATGTGCCCAACTTCCAAGTCTCACTCAGTTACCCTAAGGCTAAGTCCTGGTTTTCTTTTCAGTATTAATCCAAACAGAAGTACAACGCAACAAACACTCACCCAATAAAAAATAAACCTTTCAGCAAATAGCACTAACAATAACCAGCCTGTCCCCATTACAGCTAAACTGAACAGGGCATTTCTCCTTGTCACTGTCTGCCAGCTGTGGAGGGGTCAAAACCTCAGCATCAGAGCACTGGCAAATTACAGATATTTACATATTTAGCAGCGCCCACAGCATCTTCAAAGGGCTCAGAGCTGGCACTTCTGCATCTGTCTGCAACCATCCTTTATTGTCCATTTGTCAAGCTACGTAGCCAGCTGGTAGCTTATGATTTGTTTTTTTGGGGTGGCGGGGGAGAAGGAAAGAATTACATCCCTCATTCTCATCACTTTGCAATTAACTGACCTATAAATTTAACCACCCGCTCCAAGGAGTCTTGGCTGTCATAATGATCTGTGCAACTTTCTTCCCTCCCCTGCTGTAATGCATTATGATTGAGACCCATGAGGATTTAAGCAGCTTTTAAGATTTGTGGTGGAAGAGTATCTTGCCTTTACAGGGCAGTTTGGCCAGTGAGAGAGGTTCTGATGATGTAATGTTTCTACTTTGAGTTTCATTTCCTTGGTGCATTTTTACTTTATAACCTGTGCAGATGTGGAGTGTAATTAGAATGAACCAGACCGCTCCAGCTTGCCTGCTTATGAAATTGAACTTATCACCAAATAAAGCTCAGTGAGCTAAATTATCTGCTGGTGTGAACTAGTGCAGCATCTCTGATGTCAGTGATCCTGTGACAGTTTATGCCAGTGAGAATTTGCCCCAATGATTGCTTTTCTAACTCTCCTCCAGACTTCTAATATCCGTTTCTACAGAGCACAGCATGGGGCAGCCAATATCATTTGATTGCTTGTTACCACAGTAATGTCACAGCAGGGCTTAGAGATTCCACCGTCTTACCGCTTAGTAGTTGGAGAAGTTGCCCCTGCACCTCACTGCTTTCTTCTTGGCAGCACAGCCTGAGGCAGCCAGATGCAGGAAAGTCACAATTTCATGGACCCATGTCTTTGGAGTCCCACTTGCCTAGCTGGATTTCCCTGCTCTTTCCAAACACTGCTTTTCTGTGGGCAGAAAGGGGGAGATATGCACTCCACACATTGTGCAGGGCACAGCTGAAGATCAGCCTTGGGAAGAAGCCAGATACAGTTGTCAGTCTGTCTCCATTAATATGGGTGAGGAGGCTCAGTTCTGGGCCTTCAAAGTTTGGTTTTAAGATGTTTGTTTACAGTTTGGTTCAATGGCTCTCAGCACCTCTGGCCTCTCTTCTGACTTAGGGCCAGTTAAATGGGGGTACTGATGAATCAGAGGGAACACAGGGGGCTAACGAAGCAAGAGATGAAGTTTCAATATACACCAATATCCAGTTCACATATCATTCTATGCAGGACTCCAGTGAAGTGAAGTGAGTGTCTCTGTTCTCCTCTCCCCAGGCGCTGAGCAATTAGCCTCATTTGCTTTTTCTCTCGGGTCCCAGTAGCTGAACTAAGTCCAGTGATCTCAAGGTATAATCCAGCTAGTGCAGGAGGAGAGGGATGGCTGCAGAGGAGCCCTTGGGTGGGCCCTACACCAAACATTTGAATCTGAGCCCCACACCTTTAGGACAAACTACATTTCGGTCTGAGCTTTGGGACATGGACTTGGCTCTAATTGTTGCTGCATCATTCTGCTTCCCATATAAGCACAGCAGGTCACCGGCAAAAAGGGTCTGGGGTCCATGCACTTACTACTTTGAGTGCACTAGACTCTGTAAGGAGGCAGACGCACTGGTACAGAGCACCACCTAGTGGGGAAGACAAATTCACCTGCAGGATTAAGCTTAGTGACTATCCATCATGCTTCCAATTCAGGGGTTTGTTTTACAAACTTTCACCAGGAACAAAAAGGGAGGGTGTTTAAATCTCTCCCTTGACATACATGAAGAAATACCCAAGTAGGGAGACTGAGTCAACAGGCTGGAAGGCAGTGTCTGGCTGGAGGGCTGTCAGTCTGAGTCTCTGAAATAAGCAAAGCCTGAGTAGTGAAGTAAAGGCCTCAACCAAGGCTGTCAGGACCATCAGCCCTGATCTGCAAGGGCAGCTCTAAGAGTCAAAGGGGAAATCTCTTCCATTGGTCACTCAGTCTTGCACCATTCTGCTGAGCCTGCCACTAATGGTTTCCATACATAATATAGGGTATGTCTACACTGCAGAGGTTTTTTTGGAAAAACAACTGTTTTTCCAGGAAAAAAATGTCACTTACATCCACACTGCAATCACGTTCTTTTGGGGAAAAAGTCGAAAGAGCAGAGGGGTTTTTCCACCGTTGGCAAACCTCTTTCTATGAGGAAGAAGCCTTTTTCCAAAAGAGCACGTGTGGACAGGGAAAAGGGAGTTCTTTTGAAAGAGGAAAAAGCGCAGGCGCCCTGATGACCACTCCATCCGTAGTAATCAAGAAATGTGAGCTAGCATCCATTCAGTGTGGACGCTATCTTTTGAAAAAGCAGATCGCTTTTTTGATGCGCTTTTGCTATGTAGATACTCTCTTTCAGAAGTGACAAGGAGTCCTGTGGCCCCTTATAGACTAACATGTATTGGAGCATAAGCTTTTGTGGGCAAAGACCCACTTTGTCAGATGCAAGATCTCTTCCAGAAAAGCTTCTTCCGAAAGAAGCCTGCAGTCTAGACATAGCCATAGCGTTCAAAAGCTTCCTAACATAGTGTGTAGTTCTGCTTCCCTCGTAGTATTTCTCTATTTGGTGACAGGTTTGAACTAGAGTTGTTAGCTCCTGCTAAGCCAATGGGTGTGAGCTGTGATGATTGTGAAGCTGTCAGTGACAGAGGAGTGGAGAGGCTTATGTAGGCCTAAATCAGCTTTGCAGGCAGAGTTTGGTCAAAAGGCACCAGCAGGTGGTGCATGCCACAGAGTGCAGGATCCAAGCAAGGTCCCAGTGCCACAGCAAGTCTCCAGTTCTTCCCCAATGGTGGAGACTTCTCCAAACATTAGGATGAAATAGGGCTTCAGAGCAGCTCTGCCCCTACTCAGCAGCCTCGAGTGGGACTCTTGTCATGTCCAGAGTAGCAGCAGGGTGGGTCACTGCAGCCTAGCTACTTAGGTTGGCACTGGGAAGACAGTTTGGGCCCAGTGCATGCACAGTGCTCTACAGACACGGAATATAACAGAGTCCTTGCACTAAAGAGCTTTCCATTCGTGTCTGGGTCTCTCTCTGCTCCTAAGAAATCAGTGAATATTGAACCACTTACTGAAAGCATCCACCCTTTAAAATGTGTCATCCCAATTCTGAGAGTGATGCTCCCTCAGAAGTGCCAATTTGAAGTTAAATACCTGTCATCCTTACTGTAAGTGGGGATCCCTGTCCTCTGACATTCCTTTAAAATGCAGTCA